CTAGGAGACAGATAAATGATGCTGCACAACAGTTTATGTATTCATTGCTGAAAGCATGCCACAGTTTTGCTGTGCTCCCCAAAGCTGAGTTTCTGGCTGAAACTGAGATGCTTGCTGTTACTAGTTTCACAAATACGTTTGTTATAAACATATGAATAATAGTTAGCACCATGTTTATACCATTATTACCTCTTAACTTCACACTTCTTTACTGGCCAAAACTAATTCTAGTTGTTTTTTTCTTACCCAAACACTCTAACTTAAGAACACAGCATATCAATGTTTTCCTCGCCAACCAACAAATAAGCCCATTAAAATCCTGCTGGATAAGACAATGATTTCTACATTTGAACTTATTGCTCAACTCACTTGTGTGAAACAAATGTTGTAGACCTAAATATGCTGTGCTTGCACTGCAGCATCAGCCAAAGGGGAGGAAACAGGTTTTTGCAGAGGTAGGACAGACCACTTTAAACCTGCTCTTCTGAGCTGCTGTGGGAAATAGCAACCTTAACTTTGTAGGGGTGATGGAATGGGAGCGGTAACAGTGAGATGTGAGATGTTGCCAGCCAGCTCAAGAATCCAGCTATGGAGTCCAGATTTGGAACAGATAATACTTGGAAGACATCTGGTTCAGCATTTGTTCTGTGTTGGATCCTGTAGTCAACCCAATCTATCACAGAATTAGGTGGAAGTGTTGTCTTGTTAAAAGGTTTGAGGACTTAGCTGGCCAAATCTGTGGTTCTTTCAAGGATGATACAGATTCTTTTCCCTCTTGTAGAGTTTTGTTGTTGTTCGGTTGTTTGTTTGTTTGTTTGTTTGTTTGTCTTTGTTTGTTTGTTTGTTTGAGCATGGAAAACACTGAAAGAAAACAAAAAGACACAGCATACCGTGCTTACTATATAATTTCAGATAATTCATTATTACTGCAGGAATGAAGACTTGGAAATTTGCTCTTCTCCATTGTCTGTATTGCATTTATACCTGTTTAAAGTAAGGCAGCTAGCTCTTGAATCAGAGTGTTTAAATTTCACACCGTCAGAAAGTGTCATGTCCAAAAGGCTGGTTGTTTTTTTTCCAGCTATAACAGCAAAGAAAGCTGACAAAACACGCGTTTCTCTGCTGATATGTGACACCTGCTTTGTACAGGCAAAGGAGAGATGCAAGGCAGAGGAAAATCAAGCTTTCAGGCTTTTTGGTAGAAAGCATGGCAAGAGGTTTGACCCTGAGTTATCCTGGGGCCAGGAAGAGACTGAGCATCACTGTACAGGTAAGGCTGCTCCAAAGACCACAGCCTCTTTCTACAACGCTCTTGACAGAGCCCCAAAGTCATCTCTGAACTTCCTTCACCTCTCCTCCGTGGCCCCACTGAAGGAACACACAGTAGAAATTAGGCTTCATCTCCTCAATGTCTGCAATAGCTTCACCATTGCAATTTGGATGGCTCTAGTCCAAAGAACCATGGGAGAGGATGTCACAGAGAAAGTGGCTGAGGACTGGTGCAGGGCTTCCCTAGGAGTGCATCTAATTTCATCGTTTTGTTTGGATTTTTTTTTTTCTGTGCATGAAGCTCCCTCAGACATGCACCTTATCACAAAGGAAGGCTCTGCATAATTAATTCTCTATATAATGGCCCCGCTCCATAATTAATTTATTCATTCGCTTGCTGTATAACTGTTTCTCTACTTAACTGACTCACTTTGGTAATAGTTCTCTGTATAATTGATTCATACTGCTGTTGATTCTCCCCATTTTTATTTAATACCAGAAATGATTTGCTGTATAACTGCTTCATTGCTTAACTCATTATCTGTACAATTGCTTGGTATCATAATTGATTCACTGCTTAACTGTCTCACAGGATAATGAACAGCAAGTAACAGCCATCCACTTTTCACCTCCATTTCCCTTCCCTACCATAGCGGCTGCCTCCCTTCACACGGCAGCCCAAGCTGTCCTGACACCCATTTTACCCCCCCCAGCCCACTTCAAAATGTCACTGCTATCACCAGTCTTATTCTGATGACCACAGCCCCCTTCAGCGTCCTTCCCCTTCCCCTCCCAGCAGCATCACACACAGATTCAGCTCCATCTCTCCCATGTACCCACAATTTGGTCTCACTCCAGTTTTAAACCTTCACACTCATCCCTTTTGTCCGTCTTTCACCAGGCCACTCCTCTCCCATCCAGTTGCTTGGAAATTATATTCTGGTCCAAAAGGTCCTGCCTTGATTTAGACAAAGGTGGTGAGTGCATCAATATCTGGTACACAAGGTCATTTGTAGGTTGGGAGGAGGGGATATTGGCCCAAACCGATCCCCATTGTAAGGCACTTGGTTCTGATAGCTTTCAACACAGATTGGCATTTGTCTGCTCGTTCTACAGGTACAGCACGCCTGATGTGAACACAGCAAGATTTAATATTCTAATATAAATGCGATTTCTTATTGCTGCCTACTATAGCACCTGAACACATATTATACCTGCTTCTTCCAAGAAATGAGAAATTACGGCGGGGTTATTTCTGACAATTGGCAGAGCTTCCACGCAGTGACACTCTGCAGGGTTTCTGCAAGGAGCTTGGTGCACGACCCCAATTTAAGACCCCCAAAGTGGCTGTTTAGCAACTTACGGGTTCGGGTCAATTGTTTTAAACCGTGGCAGGGTCCTACGACTTTGAATTGGAGTGGCAACGAGAGTCAGCACTATTAGCAGTTACTGCCATCTATGGGTAGGATCATTTTAGCATTATTCCTCTTGGGAAGCGTTATTGTTTCTTCGTTATAAATAATATACCTGTTCTCATACATAAACAGATGTAACATGAGAAATCACACTCTCGTCATTGATTTCTCTGCTAAAAAAAAATAAAAAAATAAAAATTAATAATAATGTGCAAGGACTTCACTAACATTTCCACTGAAAAGAATGGGAAAAGATTTTTTAACACTTAAAATTATGACCTGCCCCAGGCTGGGAAAACAATGCCATCGCTTTTTTTTTTTCCTTCCTCAGTATGTTGGGTGCCTCCTTCTCTTTAAAGGCGTTGGGACAAACTCATCCCTGATCTATGAGCACTGAAATTACCCCAACTGCACATTTACATTTGCATATTAATTTGAATGATGTTACAGCTATTTTTTCTTTTAATTACTTCAAAATGGGAAAGCTTTCATACACCAGTGATTCTCTCTCTTTTCTAGCCTGGGAGTTTTTAGCTTTTCCCATTTAGAATTAAGAGCTGTTCAGGGCATTCATCACCCCTGACAGCTGCTAATCCCCCTCAACTCTGCAGAGTCACTGCGTTAAAATATTTGGAGTAAGTAACAGGACCATTCAATTCTATTTTGGATTGCACCTGTGCTCCTTTCAGCTCATTAGTCTTTCTATGACAGTGGCTAGTTCCACACGCTTGAAGGGGAAAGTGAAAAACCTCCACAATGGAAAATTAATGCAAGGGAACAGGAGCTAGTCCCTTGCAATTGTAGGTAACTACATCGTAAAATCCTTTTCATAAGCCAGCCACATCCATATGAAAACTGATTTCAGTTTTTGTTCTCTCCTGATTCTTGTTGGGAAGCTTTTCACAAGGACAGTTTTGTTGAGTAAAATCCTTTTAATTTCTAATCTACGGTTATTCATGGCCACTTTATACCATATGTTCCTTTATCAGTAACATTCTTCTGCATAAGCAGTGTTTTTTGTTGGTTTGTTTGTTTTTTCCTTTCTCTGCCTATTTTTACACTCCTGTTCTGTTTACAGATAGAAACAAGATCCCCTTGCCAGTCTCTTTTCAACCTCCTGTGACAGCAAAGTCCCTTCGCTCCCTCTTAACGCTCCTGTTGACACGAGGTGATCACTGTGAATATGCACTCATCCTTCCTGTACTGCAGTGACTAGTGCTGTCATTTGAAATGCAGCTATACTGGAGGGGCAATAACTACTACTGAAAATACCATGCTTGTTATATCCTAGGGTTGCCTTTGCTTTCTTTGCAGCCGTCGCTGAAGTTGGAGATACCTCACAGAGTTCGTTTCACCCTTCCCTCTAATTTTCACCTGAACAGCTCCCACAGCACAGCAGATATCATTATTAGTCATTATTTTGTACTTAGCATTACTTTGCCATTTCCATCACGCCACTTTTAAAAATAATTCCTTCTTTTGTTGTAACCTAGGAGGGGGTTGTAACTCCATGGATTAGTGAACACTGCATGCCTGCGAGGGTCAACATTTTGGGATCCTGAGCGTGCAACCTTCAGCACATCTTTCATTTGTAGCCTCTAAGGAGGAGGTAATGACTTCCACGGGACAACACTGAGGAGGCCAAAATGGGGAAAATTGTCCAAGCTGATTCCTGACATGAAGAGAAAAGGTTGCCTGCTCTGGGAGACCTCCGTAGGCAGCGGCTATGACTTTGCTCCCCTTAGAGAAGGTGAAGATGGGCACCAGCATGGACTTGACCCTGGATGGGCGGGCTGAAGGAGGTCATCTAGACAACTAGGAGGTCATCTAGACAAGACCAAGACAACCGCTTGCACTCATACATGCCAGGAATTACTGCCAGGCTAACGCCAGGCCCCGGGCACGCAGCATCCACGCAGAGGCAATGCCCATTAGGCAAGTTTCTGCTGTGTGCTGCGGGGGTTCAGCTGTCCTCACAAAGACACACACCAACGATTTGATCCGTGTATTGATTTATTGCAATCACTGATTTGGGGATGAGGAAGCAAAGGTGCTGGAAAGTAAGCTCCCTGTGAGGGAAGTGCTGCTTGAGGAGGGACGGTGCTCGGAGCACACTTCCTCTCATCTTAGCTCTCTGTAAATATCAAGTACATTTCCTTTAAAAGCAGAACATGCACACAATAAGTGATGTCTGTCTGTCTGTCTGTCTGTCTCTGTCCGTCCCCACCACCCCAAAACTCCCGCCGGAGCCGCCCGCCCGCTCCGCTTTCCTCTCCACCACCGCGCCGCCAACCACAAAGCCAACCCCCGGATGCGGAAGCGGGTGGCGGGCCGTGGCGGAAGGGTAGGCGGCGGGGCAGGGAGCCCAGCCATGGCTTTCCGGTAGCGGCAGCTTCCCCTCCTCCCTCCGGTCGGCACCGGGAGCCATGGCCCGGGCCCCGGCGGCCGTGAGCGGCGGGAGGCGGGCGCTGCTGGTGCTGCGACCTCGAGGCGCCCTCCCGCACCGTGCCGCCGCCGCCGCGTCACGTGAGCGCCGCGCGCCCCTCGCTCGGGGGGGGGGCGGGGGGAGAAGGGCAGAGGAGGGTGGTGAGGGGACGGGACGGGGGGGCACGTCTCGGGGTTGGCGGCAAAGCCCATCGCAGCCTGTCGCGATAGCCAAAAGGCGTGCGTTGCTTAACGCACGGCGTCGTTAGGATGCTCGTAGGGAGCTCCCCAGTCGGGTGGGTGCTCCTCGGTTGGCCGTTTCCTCATAAAAATGTGTTTTTTTCGTTGTTTTTTCTTCCCCCCCCTCCAGGTGTCAGCACCTCAGCGCCAGGGTCCTCGCAGGGCAAGGGCAGCGCCTCCCTGCTGGGCAGCAGGAGGCTCTTCTTCGACACTCATGCGCTGGTGTGCCTCTTGGAAGAGAATGGTAACGTGCCCCGAACACGCAGCTTATCGTCCATAAGGGCTTTATGCAGAACTGCCTGGCGAATTGCCTCCCCTTGACCTGTGGTGTTAGAGGTTTGGGTTTACGCGTTGTCTTCTGTGCCTTCTGGGTGCCAGCATCTTCAGGGAACAGAGCCTTGAAGCACGGTGATAATGCCCCAGTTGTCTCTCCTGGTACACCCAGCAGCCTTGTGGTGTCTAGCTGCCTGCCCCTGCTAAACCGCAGCAATGCACAACAATGTCCTGTAATAGGACTGGAGACGGGCTGCCCCAAAAAAATGCAGCTTTGGAGTGTAGACCAACATAAAATACAGCTCTTCTTATGCTATGACATAATGCAGTAGATTATCTTCATTTCAGTGTGATGTTACTGAGGTGGGGAAGGTCAGCACAGCTCGCTTTTCAGGAGAGGTCCCACTCCCTTTCCCCCAAACGTGTGATTGCATCTCTTTACGTGTGCCAACCTCGTTCTCAGGAAATTATACAGCTCTTTGCTCGATTAGTATTCGGAGACATTAGTTTAATGAGCTCACAGAGCAGTTGTGTGAGCACCAAGACTCATATAAAGTGGCACGAGGAGGGGAAAGAATAGAGTGAGGAGGGGTGTCTCCTTCTGGCAATGGCAAATGATTAAATCAGCTCAGCTATTGAAAGGAGCTTGCTTTCAAACCTCATTGCTGCTTTCTGACACTAACCTGCTACGTATTTGAAACAATCATCCCTCTCCATAATTATTAAATCTTGTTCATGACACTTTCTCCTACGTTTTGAAAGTAGGAAAGTTGAGAGTATTTCTAGGGACTATGTTTTACAATGGTTCACAACATACTCAGTTTAAAGGGCTTTTTCATGGTGACTCAGAGGCTGATAAGACTAAAATCACTGGATTGCTGGGATTTGCATATCATCATTGGTATATGTAGGGTATACTAAAAGTAGGTATTGGCTTTTGAAGGTCAGGATTCTTGTTGGTAGAAATAACCACGTGAGAGATGACACTGCATAATACTTTTAGAAAAACTTTCAGCACTTCTCTTGCTGGTATTGTAATGGTGCTGTACTACAGAAGTAGCTATACAACGTCACAGGTGTCATTCTGGGGTGGAGGAGATTGGGTGTACTGCCTGGTTGTGTTTTTTTGCTAGCATTACATGGAGAGAAATATACTCTTTATCTTTTATGGCTGATTTTTTTTTTAACCTCATTATGAGTATTAGAAGGTGGTATTTTCATAAGCTGTCCAGATGTTGGTATATGACTCTTGCTACGTTTTGTCTTGCTCAGGGTTCACTACCCAGCAGTCGGAGGTGATCGTATCTGCATTAGTGAAAATCATGAACACCAACCTGGATATGATCTACAAGGACATGGTGACCAAAGTACAGCAGGTCAGCTCAAAGAAGTTGTGGGGTTAAAGTCAACTGAAATCTGGCACATCTGCTAATGAAATACATGTTGCTAGGATTATTCACTGTTAGACGCTGAATTTTAAAAGTTTAAAAGTGAGGAACAAATGTCCCTATTGAGTATTGAGTTTTGTCTTGAATTTCACAAATACTTACCAGTGTTGTGGTGGACCTCGAAACTTAGGAACTGTGAGTTGGTGCACGATCCGCAGATAGTTTTTTGTTTTCAGTCTTACTGTAACCTGAAATAGAATTGCTGAGAAGGATTTTACATAGACATAGGAGGTACTCAATGCGTGGATTTGAATAGTTATGGCTACTACGTATATTCTTGTCTAGATCTGTAGCAACAACATAAAGATTTCATCTATCATTTACCATGCAGTTATGTGGTCTTTCTTGATTTATCTTTCTGTCATAATATTCATATTGTATTAGAATTCAGTTGTTTCTTTATGATGTCTTTTAGTGTGTGGTTGGTATAATTTTATATACTGGTAACATATAGGAACAGTCTATTTTAGATGCTGCTATAGAAAGCTGACAGTTTCCTTTGTATACATTGTTTGTGGTATCTTCTAAACCCACCCAGCATGTATACATCTTGGTGGAAGTGAAGAAGACTTGCATGGATATAGAACAATAATGCTGAGTATCTACAGAGATCCTCCCTGGCTACCAGAAAATTGCATAGACCTGAACTGAGTTGTTAGCATTGAGGGAATGGTGGTTTTACCTGTGAGGAATTCCCTGACGTGTAAGCTAGTCAAGCTGACCATGCTGACAAGCAGCATAGCTAAAATACCACCTCTTAGGCTGCTCTGTGAGGCTGGGATTCAGAGCCTCAAGTCACTTTCCAAACATAGACTCTTAACTCATTTTGTAGTGACTGGGTCATCATCTTAAACAAGAGAAAACTGCAGCTGCTGTCTTTGTGGTATAATAACCTCTGCACTGGACCATCTCTTTAAAGAGTAGATTTTGCACCATCTTCCATCTAGCGAGGCTTCAGCCCCTCTTTTCTAGCTCTTAGATTCCAGGCAAAGCAGATACGAAAGCACTTCTTCCTGTACTGAATTTGTTCCACAGCAGATCAGAGAATACAATGTTAAAGGGAACCTTTCCCCCATGGTTGGTGACGTTTTATGATAAGCAATCATTGTGTCTTTACCTCCATGTACAACAAGTTTGTATGGCATGCTGAGGAAGTATGTGTGTTGCCCTGAGTCCTGAGTAACATGACAAACCTGTAGTTTGTTACAGTCTGAATGCATAAGGGCTTATGCCACAAGAGAATGAAGAATTGGAAGAGGGTTTGAAAAACTGCAGATGTAGCTGTTGCCATTAGCCCAAAGCTGGATATGTAAAAGCTGAAGCATTACACTAAACAGATTAAAGCCTTCACAATAAATGTGTATGTATGTATTTAGATGAGGAAGAGATAGAATATGAAAGAAGCTGTTCTCTATTTTATTGGGTTCAGTCAAGAGTGGAGAGAATGAATGCAAGATGGGCACTTCACGGAATAAGAGAGAAGGCATCTATGGCAGTACTCTTTTTCTGGTAAATCCAGCATACTGACCCATTGTTTTTTTCCAGTGCTGTAGTCAGGTAGGCTAGTGAGGCGTCTCCAGATGCCACTTAGAAATACCATGCTATAAATTAAAATAGCATTACCTGACAAAAGTGAAGTTAGAGTGCACTGTCAGATTTGTAAGGGTGTTAGTCCAGAATCAAAAGCAAGGGCCTACTTTTTAGAGGTGGATGTTCAGAGAAGAAAAAGGAGTCCTGTGTTTGTAAGTGGATAGCTGTAGGATCTAGAAAAATGTCTACAGAGAGACCTATCCATCTTCTAAAGATGTGGAGGATGCTTGTTTTTCTTCTGTCAGTTTGGTATAAAAGACTGAGAAGAGCATTTAAAAGTATGAATATAGTGCATGATTTTGCTTAGCTGAGTAGGGAAGCAGGGTGAGCCTTCATGCAGGGGGAGGTGGAACAGAGGGCAATTACGAAAGAGCATGGTTGCACTGGGGAGTCTTGGCCTGAAAGTAAGCTTTCCTCATTTAGCACATGGACATCTCTGTCCCTAATGCCCTTCCTAGCTTAAGAATTTGAATACTTGGAAGAAACTATTTTCTATGCTATTAATTGAACTATTTTGACCCATGTTAGTACCGCTGACTTTTTCAAACGTTACTAACATTTGAGCATAACTCACTTATTTTGTCACTCTCGCTTAATTTATCTTGTCTTTTGAAACTGAGATAACTTCTAAAGTTGCAGGGTTACAAATTTTAGAGTACCAGAATACCCCATTGTATTTGTATGCACATCTGAGAAAAAGCATCGTGGTTGTATGTCCTGAGGCTTTTCTTTCTTTTAAAGGAGATCGCTCTTCAGCAAGTAATGTCTCACATTGGTGCAGTGAAAAAGGACATGATTATTTTGGAGAAAAGTGAATTTTCAGCACTCCGTTCAGAAAATGAGGTAAAAATCAGTATTTTGGAATTCTAGCACTTGCTTATTTTTTCTAATGATGGAAAGAAGAGTTTTGTACCCAGGAGGTCTACTTGAGTGCTAGTACAGTTAAACACCTTCATTGATGACCTCGTGAAGGGGCAGAGTGCAACCTTGACAAGTTTGCAGGTGCTACAAGGCTGGGAGGAGCAGCTGACCCACCGGACTGTTGATGTCCCTCCAGATGGCAACACAGCATTCCGGGGAAATAGCTGCAAGAGCTGGGAATGCTTGGCTTAGAAAAAGAGTAGGATCTCATCAGTGTGTACAAATATTTGAAAGGAAGGTATAGTAAAGATGGAGAAGATTTTTCCACTGGTGTCCAGTGACAGAAAAATAGATAACTGGCCCAGATTGAAATGCAGGAAATTCTATTTGAACGTAAGAAAAAGCTTTTTTACTGTAAGGTTGGTTGAATGCTGGAATACGATACTTGGGGAGGCTGTGAAGTCCCTATCCTGGAGATAATCAAAACCCAACTGGACATGGCCTTGAGCAGCCTGCTCTAGTTGTCCCTGCTTCGAGCAAGGGGTTGGACAGGATGATCTTCCGAGGTCCAATCTCAGTTCAACATTTCTGGGATTCTGTGATTATTATTTTTTTCAACTCTGTAACATGATCTCATGTTTTGACTATATTTAGCCAAAAAAGAAGGTAATTGTGAGAACATACAGCAAGAGGAGAGTCGGGTCACATGTTATTTCATCAACTCATAGCTAACTGAATACACACAGAACAAGACAGGCAAAAGGGATCCTTGTAGATCCTTGCAGGTTGCTAGTTCATGCACAATTGAAGTAGAACAAAACAGATAATCCACTACAACTACTACTATTCCTATTTCACATGTCTTTTGAAAGAGAGAAAGTGATAGAATAAACTGGGTTGGAAGGGACCTCTAGAGACCATGGGGGAGTTGATGGCTGCAGTGTGATAGCCATGAGGCTGCCTCTTCTTGAGGCTGAGCAAACCCCTCTGCCTCTCCCTGCTGTCCACACCTACCTTGTATGCTCCAGCCTCCCATCATCTTGGTGGCTCTCAGCTCATCTTGCTCCAGCATGTCAACATCTGTCTTGTACCAGGGAGAGCCTAAAGCTGGACACAGCTCGATGCAGACTCAAAAATGCTAGATATGGGGGAATAATCATTTACCTTTGGCTGTGTTTACTCTTTACTAAAACTTCCTATGCATTTGGCCATCTTTACTGCTGTGGAGCACTGTTAGCTTCTGTCTTGTGCTGCTGGTTGGAAATCTGTAGTAATGAGTGATTGTGCATCTGTGTATGTGTGGATATATCTACACGTGTATTGAGGATATAGATAATAAAACCATGTTCATTCTGCCTTCCTTTTCACATGATGCATTGTAGTTTTTCCTACTTACGGTGCGCATTCATTAGTATTTCTAGATTGAAGTGGTTTGTATGCAATAATAAAAGTGCAAATTTTTTTGTTTTCCCAGAAAATAAAACTCGAACTCCAGCAGATAAAGAAGCAAGTCATGGTAAGATGCTCTACCAATATAATTAAGAATTAACATTTGTCTGGTTTGCTTTAAAAGTAATTATTTCTCTTAGCATCTTATTCTAAACTTTGTGCTTGATTGTTGTGATATAGGACACTGAAACAGCAATTGATGGTACAGTACAGGCTGCAGCAAGGTCAATTTCATGCATATTTAATTAATGGTGACAACTGTAAACAATTCATCACTAAGTGGTGAAGAAAAAAATTATCTGAATACTTTTTCCTTAACTCAGACTCAGAAAGTAGGTAGCTGCCACGTCATGATTAAGGCTGGATGATGCCCTGTATTTAGGGCTGGTTATCATATTCAAAATGCAACACACTTTAAGAATTACAGCACTTAATAATGGGTTACAGTATTTCTCTTTTCCTGAAGTTTTTTTCTGTTAGCTGTTCAGAACTTAAAATAATTTTTAAAAGGCTTCTTTAAGCCACTAAGTTTGGTGCCATTATGTTTGGTCCCATTTGTTTGGGAACAAATAACCTTAGCAAGAAAGCAGACTCTTTGGAGGAAACTTATCTAGGAATTATCTACAGGTTCTTATTCTTACTAGGTTTAAAGATCAATGCTGTTTTTGTTCTTTTTTTTTCCTCTCCTGAGTAACATTTCAAATAGCTTTCTAACATCAAAATCAAGATTGTCTCAAAGCCTTAGCTTAAGTCTCAAAATTTAGTTGTGTAGTCATACGCAGCTTTTACAAAGAAAGAAAAAATTCTTGCAAGAAGCATTAAGATTGGAAACCAGGTAACTCTTAACTGTTCATAGGGAATACGGTCCTCTTACTTCAGAAATGTTGTTTCTTCCTGTGATAGCCTTCTTACCTGGGAGGATGGAGCACCTTTCCTACCATAGGATTTGCCAGTGAAACTGTCAAAACATTGTCTTGTCAAGTTAGCTGACAATGTGATCACAATGTGATAAAGTTCAGCGTAGTGCCCTCCTTGTCATTTCTTCCCTATTATCTTCAATTCTTCTTTGCAATGTTAACTCCAAAAGGAGAACAAATTTCTCAGGGCTAGTCTCACGTGTTTTATATAATGCTGTGAAATGCTTAATGCATCCAGGCTTTCAGTATGCCATTTTTTAAAATGGTTGGCATCTGATTTTTGATTTGTAACTTATTTCTATGCAAGTAAAAATATAAACTGAGTTAGTATATTCAATGGTAGAATATGAAGGATCTGAGTCATCTTTTCTTAAAGCAAGATATCTTAAATTTAACTTTTATCTGGAAATATAAAATGATTTGCCCTTGCAGTAATTACATTTGCGCATACTTTTTCATCTGAAAGACAGAATGACACAATGTTGTAAAAAATGAAGGAAAAAAATATTTCAGACTTCTCAATTTCATTGAATTGTAACACGTGCTGTAATGACATCTAATTACAACACAGTTAAAGTTCAAACATTGCTAGCATAGAAACTGAGTAGTGATTATTGTTCATACTGATTTAATGAAGTCTTGACTAGCTGACATTGGTCTACTTGAGAGATGCTTGCTTGTTTTTAAACTGTAGAATATCCCAGAGCATCATCAAACTCTTGCTTCTCCCACACATTCGTTAGATCAGCAGTTTGCCTCATGACAAACTGTCAGCTGGCTGGAATTCCTGCTGGGAGGTTGCATTAAAATGGCAGCTGTCCACTGCGAGAAATAGGAATCACTTAGAGCTATCCAGTGAAGTATATAATTTAATGGTAGTTTAAAAAGTCAGAAGTTTATAATACAATAAACATTTTCTGAATTCTAAACCTGTAGCTTTTTTTTTTTTTCTGAAAGCCCTAGATATAGTCTTTAGAAACAGATTTTCTTCAAAATTGCAAAGTTGGAAACTGCTTTACAACATTATCTTGAGCATCAAGATTCCTTCACAGAAGTCCATATTACAAGTGTACTTAGGCATGGATTTCTGAAATCAGTGAGTCATGGGATATGACACATTCCTAGCAGCACTTGTAGAAGGATGTGCTCTCAATCAGCTGCTGTTTTCAGTGTTCTGGTGTAAAAGCAGTTTAGTTTTTGACTCATTCCAGTGAGAATGAATTCATACTACAGAACATGAGTATTTCCATGGGGGAAGGTTGGAACATTTGTACTTTGGAAGAAGATGCACACTATGTGTCTTGGGAATCAATCTGCTCTCTAATTAAAGAAAGCACAATATATTTTCCTAACTTATTTTGCTCATGAATAAATAGAAATTCATGCTCACTGCTTCATCATTTTTTCCCCCATTAGGATGAAATTACTAAAGTGCGTGCAGATAACAAGTTGAACCTAAACCTAGAAAAGAGCAGAGTAAAAGAATTGGTAAGTTTTATTTGCATTCTTCTAGAAGAATCCAAACATTGAATAGTTTCCTAATTTGGGTAAGAATGTAATTTTGATATTAATCTGTAGTGTTGTTTGTTTTCAAGATACTGTTAATCCACATTACTCATCCTTAAGCTTCTATAGTACAAGGTGTAGTAGTATTGTTTGACTTTTGTGTGTCTGTCTCTTGATACTGATTTAATATTAGTATCAGTGTACTACATTTAAATACAATAGATTTTCGTATTTAAATATGCTGACTAGCCACATGGAGATTTTTTCACGTTGTTAGTATAGCTCTATTTTCACACTGAATTAAGCATCCACATTTCATTACACTTGTCATCACTGAAGATGTATTATTTCCCTATAGCTAGAGAATTTAGTGTGGCTAGTTTGTCAGGCATTACCTAATGTGAAAATAGTTGGGATTGATTTTTACTGTAACTTGATACTGATTAGGGTTGTTTTAAAGATTTGGGTTCTTTTAAACTTTGAAATATCTGGTAGAGCTGAATTTACATCCTCTTTAATTAGAGTAACTTAGAGGAAAAACTAGAAGATAAGTTTTTGCACTATATGTAGCACTCTAAATAGAAATCTATTCCCGTAGATCTCTTGAATAGCTTTTAGGATCTCAAATTGCATAATCTAAATTGAAAGATTTTTCAGTGGCACTTTACTGCAAATTTTATTTCTTATTCAGTCCTATTATCACAAGTGCATAGTGAAGTAATATTCATCTGCAGTCTAGGCAATAAGAACTGTTAAAGTAGAAGTCATATAACTTCTGTGTGTGCCCCCTGAAGTTAATTCACAGTGATTAGTTCAGGTAACTGTTGAGTTGGTGATTGAGTATAATGACTAACAGCCTGTTATCCCCTGGTATATGCTTGAATAAAATACAATTCAAGCAGATAAGGTCCATTTTTAAAGATCAATACTTTATGCTGGTGGTTGTGTGTGTGTTTGTTTGTTTCTTTTGAAGGACTTCATACAAAACGTATGAACTGTGTGGATCCAAAGCTTTGAAATACTTTGGGCTTCAAAAAACCTATTTAAACACATTTCACAGGTGATGAATTAGGTACTACCATTTCCTTGTATATTTATGTAGAACCCTGAAATCTGGACTTTGTTGCTTATAACACTGCATGACTTCAACTGCCTCCCAGAAAAAGCAAGCCTTGCAGCTGTGAATTTTCTTTTAAGAAAGTTGATTAACTTAGTCTGTCATGCAACTACAGTTTCATAGTTTCTTTCAAAACTACTCTTTCACTCCCAGCACTCCCCTACTTTAATTGCCAGCTTTGTCATGCATGAACAGAAAAGGAAAATGCAGACAGATATGGGGCAGGTTGCAGCATATATGCTGAGCTGGGGAGAAGAACATAATCCAGTATTTTCTGTAGTAGAGCATCACTATATTTACTTGGATGCTAACATGACTTAAGACTGAATGTCTGTCTTTGTGAGAATAAGACTCAGGTTATTGAAGCTTACTATTCATTCTTACAGAACTATTATTCAGAAGAGAAATGTCCTAAGTCTAAATTGATTTAACTTTATGTACTTTAAGTAAAAAGTTCTTATGTTTCAGTTCTGCTTGGACTAAATGCTGAAGGAGAATATCTTAATTTGTCAACACTGATGTCAGCCATTTTTAATGTTTTGAACTCCAAATGCTTTATCTGAATAAGTTAGTTCCACTTTACATTTCCTACTGAATTCTTTGTTGCTTAATGCACATCTGCTTGTGCCCTGATTTATATCTGCGACTGATATAGATGCAATTTAGAAACTTGAAGTACAGTACAGATTTCTATTTATATTCATATTGTTCATGCATCGCAGTGCCTCTACGCTGGCTGTTTAAAAATATCAAGATGCATCTGACAGAACTGAATTTTCTCTGCATTGTGGAAAAACATGTGGACTTAAGGGGAAATCTCCCTGTTTAATTTCAGGGTGGGGTTAACCTTGCCTTTCCTCTTGCTGTACTTGTGTTATTACAGATTTGTGTTGATTCTTCATAGGAAAAGGGTGTATTTCACTTTCTTAAAGTGCAATTTGAAATCCCTGTGTTCGACCTAGGGAGCTCTAGCCCCAAGGCAAATTTGAATGAATATGGACATCAAGAAAGAAGTTTGCAGAGTATAAATTGTTACTAAAAAAGAAGTCTATTTGGCCAACAACATCTATTTAAACAGAAATTATTTCAATCCATTACACTGTTTATTTTAAATATACTACTATTTTTGATAGTGATGACCAGTTTATTAATGAGGCATTGTTCTTACATGAAATTTTATTTCAAACCTGATTTTAAATTATTCTTTTATAAGTTTTGCCATCTTACCACTTTTAGACATTTTACATAAATATAAATTTCATTTTTTTTCCTTGTGTTCAATTTGTAGAATTTAGCAAAAAAATGTTTCATGAATTGTAGAAATGCTATTATTTGTCTCTTCTTTTCCACATTTGTAGCCTTGTGCTATTTCTTGATCTTTAGATCAGTCAGAAGTCCAAATATTGCTGTAGATATTTAAGGAGAGGTTTTTTCAATGCTGAGGCATTTACATAGATTAATCTGAGTTTAATATTAAGGTGGAATAAGCTTCAAGACTGGAGGAAAAATAAAGTGACTTTCCACGTGGGAATGTCAACAGATGAGGTTATTGCTGTGTAACTGAGCATTCTGAGATGGGAGCCCGATGACCTTAATACTCTGCACTGTAGACTGGTTTAGCAGCTGTCCTATGAATAATTGAATTGCTGTAGTGGACAGGAACCATTACATTCTACCATTATTAATGTATATCATTGTTGCAGATGATGATTGTCTTGGACTTGTTGCACTTCGCAGTTCAGAAGAGTGGCTGAAAACCTGTCTGAATTCTGCTTTGTAGGATGATAGCAGTCATCCTATAATACGCTTTCTCAAGTGTTATCAGACAACATTCTTTTTCAGATCCTTCTTTTATTTATTTATTTATTTTTAGCAGAACTTGGAAACAAAGGAATACTTATTTAAATGTGGGGAAAAGGTTTAAGGACAATATCACATTTATTTTTTTTCTTTTTTCCCCTTTGCAGTATTCACTCAATGAAAGAAAACTACTTGAAATGAGGACAGAAATAGTGGAGTTGGTAAGGACTTGGTAGCTAATCGTATAAAAAAAGCTTTTTATGCTCATATTATAGACCAGGTGTTCTTTGTGAAGTTGCTCATGTGCTTAGACACTTCCATGTACAAAATGTCATTGAGATTTATTATTTCTCCATGCGCTTCCATATTAGTACAGCTGACTGAAGTGTCTACAGAATAAAAAGGCTTTCATATATATTATTAGGTTTCCTCTGTGTCTATATAAACTGTTCAGTGGTCAGTTTGTTTTGAAACTTCATGCATGTAGTATTTTCTCTAGACAGAACTTTACGTTAGTTCTTCTGAAATCAATGATTTTTTCCATGTTCAGTGTGGCTAGATTGATTTGGCTTCATTTTAGGGGGAGGCTTTTACTAAGCTCTTCGTCTTCATTTTGTTTTATTTCTGTACTGTAGGGAATTAGCCATCGGAAGAAGTCTAGCAGTAAATCATTAACAAATCATTAACTGATTGAAAATGTTTCAGTAGTGCTGATTTGAAAATATCAGCACCACGGCAGCTGTTGATCTGAGTTTACAGGTCTTGTCTTTCAGTCTTTTCTGAGTAATAACTCCATCCCATTTCTTTCACAAAAGTTTGGTCTTCTGTCATAATCAGATCCTGAAGTCTGTCTATCACTGTTTTAGTGGCAGAATTCATTGGAAGATGAAGGCACGCTTTATACATCAGAAGACCAATTCTTAGTATTTCTAATGATCCATAAATTTTCATGCTCCAGTATGTTTCTGTCACAAGAGGCTCTTAGACATCTCAATAGCTATTATAATTGAGCAGTGACTTGAACATCTGTGGGCCAAGTGACAGATTAAAGTTAATGATTATGCTGCTAGATTGAGAGAAGAAGGCATCCAGTTCTGCCCCTTTCTAGATTACGTGTTAGGAAGCAAGTAGTCATGGAAGTTTACCAAGTTCACCAAATTTTTCAATTTCATGGATATAATAAGCCAGGAAGGAACTTGTTTGCTTTGAATGCAAATTATTTCATTAACATACATTTAAGGAGAGGTCAGAAATGCAACTTAAAAGAATGGGTTACATTTCTAAATTAACTCAGAACTGTTCAAATTGTTTATTTTTGTTACTTTGTTTTCCAGCATGCACAACAAGATCGAGCTCTGACCCAAACAGACAGAAAAATAGACACAGAAGTTGCAGATCTAAAAACAATGCTTGAATCACACAAACTTGATAACATTAAGTACTTGGCAGGTAAGGAATCTGATGTTGAAACTATTAAGCCTAACAGCATTTTTGCAAACTTTCAATTGACTGTATTCATGAAGGCCCTAATTCAAATAAAATACTTGAAGTAGTCACAGTTGATATCAGCAAGGTTATTTGTGTACTTTACTTAGAGAAAGTTTTCTGTGATTTGCAGCTTCATTTTGCATGGGCTGTAATTCTTTATACTTTATACCCTTCTTTATACAGTAATAATAATGTGTGTGAGAAATCTAAAAGACTGGCTGTCAATAAGGGTCAAAAAGTTCATGTATGCCTGACTTAATTTATAAAAGCAGCCTGCTGCATGTGTTTCTAGGGCTTTTGTTGGAGCTCTGTCTACAAAATGGAACAATTCTGGCTTTTTGACTGTTCATTATCACATTCCTTAAGTGCTCATTTTTCAGGCATGTATGTTAGAAAAAATACATTATTGCTCGAGGTAAATTCAATATTTTGACATTTTTCAGCTGCGTATGCAGTGCTATTAAATGAACAAGTTAACAGTAGAAGTTATTCTTCTGATTTAGACTTTTTGATTATTCTTTCACAATAGGTTTTATCATAAGGACAATCATGTCTATTCATAGTACTGTACATCAGGGATATCCTTTTACAGTGAACCATTACTGGAAAATAAAAGGCAATTTATTAAAATGAGAGGAAGTTCTTTTCCCCACTATCTCTATTCAAAAAAGTGTTGAATTCCCCATGGAAGTAAAACTAAATACATAAAACACAAACTTACTTCAAGTGCTACTGTTTGCAGACAATGGCAAAAATAATGTGTATATCTAGAAACCAAAAGTTGATTTAATTCAACAGAAATTTAAAAATACAAATCGATAAGCCTCATTAAAGTAGTTTGAATTTATTTGTGTGAATACTTGACTGTGATTTAATAACCCTGTTATTCAGTTCATTTCACAACTGTAACTTGCCAAATTGATGGGTTTTTGTTGTTGTTGTTGTTGGTTTTTTTGAAAGGTAAGCAACTAAGGTGTTTTTCCAATCTTTTGAGTCTTCCAGGCCATTTTTCCTGCATCCTTTTTTTTTTCCTTCGTCATTTTTCTGCCCTTCTGCCTTGAAATTCTGTAAATTAAAAACCTTATTTTCTGACATGGGGAAGGAGTAGTGATTACACTTTTAATATTCTAGCCCATTGTATACTTAGTTTTCTGTAGAAGTGTTCTAAGAGCTAATGATTCATTGTCTCTGTTTTCTTTCCTGCTTTTATTTTCTTTCAGGTTCAGTATTTACATGCCTTACAGTAGCACTGGGATTTTATCGCTTATGGATATAATAAAGTATCAATTTAAAGGGACTTCTACTGTCTTGTTTTCTGAAAAACAAAGAAATTTTATCTTTGCCTGGACTTCAACCAAGTCTTGAATGTTTTATGTATTTTTCTGTGAAGCAGACTGTATTGAGAATGTAACCAAAGACGTGCCTAGGATCAAATTGTACATATGTTGTGCATATTTTGAAAGTTACCTCTGATCAAAGCATGGTGTAAGCACTTCTGCTGTTTCCCTTCACTCTCAGCTGCGGTACACCTTGCTGTTGAAGTGCCACATAAAGATGGGCATTCATACCAGTCGTATAGGGCTGCATGCTGTAGAAAAGAATCTGTTGTAAGAGTTACATTTTGTTGCCTATTTAGACATGCTTACCGGAGTCAACTGCATGTATTGGACTGGAATTATGATTATTAACATAAAACTGAAACTACATTTTGTGGCTCGGAGACACTCTTGTGTAAATAAGATTTGTGTTCACGGAATCACGCTTACTTCTTACTTGTTCATACAGATGTTATGATCGAATATTTGTCTTGCTATTTTTATAATAATAGAGTCATCAGCTTGTTTTTCAGATGACCATTCAGTCAATCATTCACGATAGCAGTATTTGCTGCTAGTTTTGTTTGTAATATATTTGTAGAGTGGTTTGTTTGTTTACTTGTTTTTACTAACTTGCCTTTGGTACATATTAAAAATCTGATACTCATTCCATATGCTAACTGTTAACCACTGTAACTGGAGGTTTGAAATGCAGTAAAATACACCACTGTTATTTTTATGGTTAAATGATACAAACCGTCTCTGGTGCTGCTTCCTTTATGGAAAATGTTTCTAGATAGGGAAAAGATTTTTAGCTGGTAGTTATGAAGCACTGTCATACATGAGGGAACTGCAATACTCTGGTTTTTGTTTGTTTGCTCTTCTTGTTTTATTTCAGGAAAAAAAATTGTGGTTCTTCAAATGTGGAACTTTGGTAGTGATTATAACAATGAAAGCAGTAATGAAGGCTAAAAGGATATTTAATCTCATTCTGCGCAAGCCCGTGTGTACTAGTAAATGCAACTGAAAGCTATGAAGGGAAGTGTCCAGTGTATCCAGATACGTACATCATTCCTCTACTGATGAAACAACAGGTTTATTAACAGGGCTGTCATCTGTGCTCCTTCCATTAAGTGAAATTTCCTAATCTTGCCTCTTAGGAGAGGAGAACAACATATGCACTAGTAACAAATGCTGTTAGAGCACAATCATGGCTTTGCTTTTTGAAAGTAAAGCTGTTTGGCTACTTTGTGCCTATACTATAGTAACCATTTAAGTAACCATTTAACTTTCTTGGTGGTTGGGAGTGCCAACTTGGATTGTATCTAAGTGAGGAGAAGAGATGGATGCCTGTAACAATACTATCTTGGCCTGAAATAAAGAATTTTGGATATTTTATAGAGTTATGCTGAGTTTTCATTATTAATGAAACTTCTTAAATGAATTTGCAATCTTTTGATATTTTTTTTAAAGGTAATTCACTGTTAGTGAGACTTTTAAAGCTAAGAATTAGCAAAGTCAACAGCCACTATAACACTGAAAAGGAAAGAAAAGTCAGTATAGATGGTTATTTCACAATAATAGTTTTCCTTGTGCTAACCTAACAAACTCTCAAATTAATCTATATTCCAGATTTTCACCTTTTTATTTAAAAAAAAGAAAGATCTATATATATATATATATTTTGTATAGGACTTAACGTGTTCTCAAATAGAGAATCTATAACTTAATTTTAGGAACATCTTGATTCCTATCTTCACAGAACAGTGTCAGTGAAATCTTTACATCTTTACCTGTATGCCTGAGCATCTGATAAATAGTCGCTTAAGTAATTCTTAATTAGCAAAGTCAGAATAATAGCACTTTCTGGTGTGTTTCAAACAAGCAATGACTTTAATATGTTTTTCAGGAAAAAAACAAAAACACAATTAGAAAATAATTGTTATTTCCTAGCCTACAAAGGCTAAATGATGTAAAAGTTCGCTACTGTTATACGTATAGATGGAAAATCTGATTTCTTCCTCTGATTTTAAAGATGATTTAGCAATTGTTCTAACACATGAATCACATTTATTGGAGTTCCTAAGAGGTAGAATTTACACTTCGAAATACATGGATGGATTTCCTTTCAAAGAAGTATTTGAACTTAAACAAAACCCAAACAAACAAAAAAAACCACCACTCACAACAAAAACCTAAATATCTCTTGGAAAGCAACAGTGAGTGTCAAATGATCACTGAATTAATAACTAGGAGACCTGAGTTGGTACTCTTCCCAATTTTTTTCCTGTAATACTTTTTCTGCATCATGCTTTATAGTGTTTAGTATCAGAAGCAATTAGATGGTACAGAAATACTTTTTGGTTCTCTGGTTTCAGATTTTGATTTTTCAAAGATTTACAAAAAAATGTGAAAAGTACTGTTTAAAAACCTGAAGTTGATCCTAAAGGTTCCTTGTGTTTTGTAGAACAAAGAGATCCAGAAGTCTTACAAAACTGTGTTTATTTGTAATATGTTAGTGAGAATATATGGAATTTAACTGCTTGCCTGTCTTGCTTTACCTCTTGTTTTCAGTAACAACCTGTGAGGGAGCCATCTCCAATTTACTGGTATTAACTGAAGTGTTTACTTTCACTAAACTGTTACTGACAGTTATTGCTGTTAAATCACATGCTGCTTAGCCCTTTCTCTACTGGAGGTGCTGATTGCATCATTCATTTCCCAGAATATCGAAGAGTTATTCTTAAAAACATGAGCTGACAAATAAAGACTTATTTTTAATGTAGGTATGAAGTCTGCTTTGTGTTTGTTTTTTTTTCTACACACGAGTGTTTTGCATACTAATTCCAATACTTCTTTTGTAAGCCTTATTCTGGTAGTGAATATCCATTTAACTGAACCCTTCATAAATGTGAAATCCTACCTCCTTGCACTTTTTTACAGCTCCTACTGACTTTGAAGAAAGCATACTTTTACCTGCTTCCTGTGCATTTTGACTTACACATACTACTTCAGTGAAAAATGGCTTTTCTTTTTTCTTCATAGCCTTGCTGCCATCTGTAGACCTGGCACATGAAAACTGTTTCCTTGCTTTTGGTGTGTTTTGTTTTCTGCAGTCAGCTCAATTCCTGTGACTCGTTCCTTTAAACTGCTGTTTGCAAGGCGTGAGCAAAACTTGCTTTTGCATCTTCCACTGAGGTTTCCAGGAATCAAGTGGATTATCTTCATTATGATTTTGAAAATAATCAAAACTGTGGAATATAGTTCACTATTTTACAAAACTGCCACACAAAGCCTCTTTTCAAAGAATAAGTACACTGTAAAATTAAAAAAAAAAAAAAAAGTTTTTGTGCATGGGGAAAAGCTATATGCAGAAGTTATTTATTTACTGATTAGTTTGGCAGCACTTTCCTTTAAATTACTATTCCTCTAGCTTTCTCTTTGAATCGATGGGCCCTTTAGTTTTGGTCTGTCTTTTTTTTTGTTATTGTTTGTTTAAGAATAAAGCTCACTGCTTGAATAATTAATTTGTTTAGCCCATAAATAAGAGTTAATTTGCAATCAACTGTGCCTGGAATATGGGGGTTCACTTTAATCAGAAGCAAATGTATACACTACTGGAGATGGAGAACCTGCTGTGTCTTTGTTAGGAAACTTCCTTTGGCTTAAAACATGATTTTTTTTTTTATTATTATTATTTTCTTTTAACCCTGTTAGCACATGTTTTAAAGCAATAGTGTTGATGCTTTCTTTTAGACTTAAATTCTAGGTCAGAACACTCCCGTAATCCTTAATGTGCAGTTTTGTAACTAGATAGAGATCACAGAGGGAAGAAAGCAGTGTTTGCGTAGCGTTCCTTTGAATTCTCTCCATTCCAAGAAAAGATAGCAGTTTTCTTGGGAGGATACCTAACTGTTATCAAAAACTGGAAATGAGTAATAAAGTATTGATGCAAATAGCAGTCCTGGGCCAATGTTTGTGCCTGTAGTTATGAGTGTTAATGTGTTGTAACATTTCAAATGCCCTTCCTCCCTGTGCTGTTCCTTTATGCACCCTATCAAGCTCTCAGAAGTTCACTGGGTGCCCTGCTGTAGTCTGAATTGTATCAGCTTGATTCAAGCCTTGTGAATAGTTTCTTCTTGCTGCCTGAATAAAAATGTAGTGAGATAAAAGAAGGGTGTATTTCTTAATTTTCTTAAACGTTAAGTGGCACATATTCTGATAACTTTAAACAGAACTGCATGGTACGTGAATATAATAACAGCATACTTAACTGCAGGCAATCGAATTTGATCAAAACAAGCTTGTGTACAGGGCTCCAGAGTTTGTCTCAGAACCAATAGTGTGAGTAATAGTTATCTTGGCAGGGTGTGGGAAGGGAGGCAGGACAGGTTTCTCAGTGTGAAAAGTTGAGCTCATGATTTGTATTTTAATCTCCAGCACGCTCTGGTCCTTCTCCATTATTAGAAATCATGCAGTCCTCTTATGTAGGACTGTCTGCAATGCAGGTTACCTCATGAATAGAAAACTCTTTAAGTATGCTGCTTTTGATTGTGGTTTTGTCCAGATTAATTTGCGTCACTACCATTCTTGTGTCTTTACCCAGGATCTGTTTTATTATGGCAAATGTGTACCAAGTATGTATTTATGAAGTTCTATTGATGCAAGAAACAAGTAAGTACAAAGGCTGCTTCAGAAGGGCCTTTTAAAGACTACCTACCACAACCAGACCCAGAGTGTGGCTGGAGATTTTCATAAATCTTTAATATTATGGCTTTCAAACAAGTCAGTTCTAATGCCTTGTGATTTACACACGGGGCTCCTTTGATTTCCTCAGCTGCTAGCTGGGCCTGGGCACTGATCCACCTTGTTGTCTGAGCTGCTGAACTTTTCAGAGAGCTTTCAAAGCCCAAGTAAAGCTACAGGCATGAGCCTGCACTAAATAAACTAATCACTGATGATGTACAGGTGACACTGTCATGTCTAGTGCACATGATGCTGTTTGTAGAGTATTCGTTTAGTATTTAACATAGTGACCTTGTCCCGTGTGTTTTATTGCAGTACTATTCTGAAGTACTGGATCACAGGAAGCTTGTAAGAAGATGAAATGCTATGAAAGTTGGGGAAAAATACAAAGGAAGATTCATACTCACAGAATTTCTTAGGAAAATTCTTGCAAGATCTTGCGATTTTAACTGTTTCCTTTAAAAAAGGAGCCTTGTTCAAAAATTAAGCTTTTTTAGAAGCTTCTAAGTTGATTTTTTTTAATCCTCCTAGTCGTGTTCTAGTCAATGCATTGCTGCGTGCTTCTTTACGTGGCTTGTTTAACTTTTGGTAATTTGATTTGGGGATACCCATGACCACTGCTCTCAAAAAAAAGCTACAGTCGGTTATTATTCTCTTTTGGCCATTCAGTAAAAATGCATCCAAGACCTTAGAAAAGTTTAACAGTATATTTTCCATTAAGTTATTTCGTAGTTGACTTGTCTCATTTAAACAGGGTCCTATTTTGCCCTAAGGTATCAGACCACGCCTGACAGGTTATAAATGTGATGATTCATAAAGTGCAGTTAACCGGGGGGTTGGGAATGTCTGAGGGAGCTAATCCCGTTTGATAGAGAGAACTGTGGCAGTCATCACCTAACAACGCAAAAATATGCTCACTGTGGAAGGTAAATGTTTAACAGTAACCATGTACCCCGTTTTCATAAATGCCTGTGTTTGAAAAGACATTTTCTGCTGTTGCCTAACAAATCAAATGCATGGCTCTGAACTTGGCCACTCCTAGCGTATTTTTCTTTGCAGCTCCAAACTTCAAATGCTCAATATGTCATCTAACTAATGTATTTTGGATTCTTTTATTTGCTGTTTGTACTTTCAACATTGTTTTCAAGTTCTTCTTTTGCCCTCAGGTTGTAGAGGGATTTGGAAGAGGGAAGGGTTGGTTTTCAGTTTTGTCTTAATGAGGGATTTAATGTGTTTAACAAAAATGTTCAATGCATTAGAATACGACCAAAGGCTCTCTTGCAAGCCTTCACTTGTTCATTGAAGTCAAAGACACATTTATATTAAGGTTTCATGATCAATCTCCTGATTGATGCTTGTTTTAAGTTTTGTACAAATTGTCTTTCAAGTAGCAATTTAAATATTTCTATAAACTCTTCGTACATCACCACATCTAGCAAAACCACAAGACCCTGAGGTACTCAAATATCTGTGAATAAAACAACCCGCAGGATCATGTGCAAACAAGTAAAAACAGAGGGGAAAAACAATTGCAAGGTGCTAGAAGTCAGTGTATTGTATAAATATCTAAGATACCGAGTAGATAAGACTGTAGCAACAGTGAAAGAAAACACAAGCAAAGCCAGTTCCTTCAGACTGTAAATAAAGGTTAACCCTCTTCGCTCTTGGACAAAACCCAGCAAGAGAGTCTTCTTTAGTAACTGCCCTTGCAGTATGTGTCTGCGTGTTCCTTGAATGGCTGGTGGAGGTGTGTTTAGTCCAGAAAATGGAGGTTTACCTTGTGTGCTTTTCTGTTGTCATGGAATGAAGCAGTTTACTGCAAATATGTGAAATTTTATATAAGCTGCATTAGGCTTGGTGTGAAAATCATAGCTTCAACATGAGGGGTGGAGGGTATTTGTTTTTAGATCTCTTATGTATGTTGTTCTAACGTGCTGTGTTTGGGGCCTGATTGCAAACTACCAAAGGATAATTGCCCCTTGCTAATTATCCTTACTGAAGTAACAGGTAGACTGGGTGGTGTGGTGATACATCCAAGTCAGAATGAGCTCTAGGGATGCTCATGAGAAGGAATTACTGCAGAGAGATTACAGACAGGAGAGAGAAGAAGAAGAAAAAATAAATGAGTTGCTTCTGGAAGCACTGAAACCAAGGGGGGGAAATACTTGGAATACATAAATGTATTGAAATGAAAAATCTCAAGAAATGGTAATGTTAAAGAAGGCCTGTGAGTGATAGCAGGTAGCAAGTTAGTTGCTAAGTTACAAGGCAATTTTGGACAGCAGCTCTGTAGGCAAGGATGGTTTAACAGGCCTGTGCCGAATTTCTCATGTTTGGAGATGACATGGAAGGAGGATGCCAGTGTAAAACCATCACACGCAGAGCGCAGCGGTTGTGTTGCTGGGGAGGATGCAGGGAAAGAAGCTTCCTCGTGTCCAGCCACATGTAGTGCCGGGGCAGTGGGGAGAGGCAGCCTTTGTGCCTCGCTCCATCCCACACGCAGACAGGCTCTCCAAATTCCAGTTCTGACTGGGATAATTGTACCTGGAAATCCAGCTTTCAAGAGCAGAGGAGTGGTTCCTGCCTACCTTTCATGGCACTTAGCAGGGCTGCAAGCACTTAAAAATTCTCTCCTCTCAGACAAGATCCCAGCCTGCCTGAGGATAGGAAACAATGGGCCTTGGCGTAATCTTTTCTGCAATGGGGATGAAACAGGACTGCTGAATGATTAAAAAGAGGCTCTAATCTTTTGCTGGGATCCTGAGGGCTGAAGGGCTTTTCTCTCTAGATGGATTCTGGCCTTTCCAAAGACAAAGAGCGGTGAATTCGGTAATGAGTCCCTAGCTAGCCAGCATAATAGATTGGCTCTATTTAAGCCTTGTCCCAGGGGACCTGTACGTGGGTTGCCTTTTATTTATTTGTGGTCTCTTTGCTACCATAGAGCTCAGATCGATGGAACTGCTCATCGAATACGTAACTAGTGTTTGTGACAGAGCCTGATAAATATATCGCTAAGTGCAGCTAGGTATTACACAGACT